GAGGGAGGAGTCGTCTTCCACAGAGAACGGACTCTTCTCTTCAGCCCCCTGTAAGCAAATGGAAAGTGCATCTCCGTGGTGTACACACCGTGCTTCTTGGGTCCCTAAGGCGGAGGCCTTCAAACTTTTTACTCCCTTTCTCAAAAGAAGTTTGAAAAACCATGTACCTCCTGACGTATTTTAAAGTTGAAATTTAAAATTCTTATTACAAGTTTAAAACATTGCAAAGGGCATGATTCCTGGTGTATTATTAATCTTGACATTTAAAAAACTGTTATATCACTGTTTAAAATATATCCACTACAATTAAATACTGCACTCTGGCAACTTGATATCCACAGTCATCCTTATAAAAAAATACATGAGGGCCGGCCCAGTGGCGCACTGGAGAGTGCGCCACTTGGGAGTGTGGCGGCGCTCCCGCCGAGGGTTCGGATCCCATGTGGAGACCGGTTCCCGGTCACTGGCTGAGCGCGGTGCGGGCGCGACACTGAGGGTTGCGATCCCGTTACCGGTCAGTAAAAAAGACAAAAAGGAAAAAAAAAATACATGAGCAAGATCTTCTTCAATAACCTGAAATTTTATATTTTTTTCTCCTTGAATTCCTTTTCTTGTATACTCCTCCACAGCATTTTTATTTTTTTATTTTTATTTTTTTTTCCTTTTTGTCTTTTTTCGTGTCCGGCAACGGACCGCAACCCTCAGTGTCGCGCCCGTACCGGACCAGGACCAGCAACGGGATCGCAACCCTCGGTGCTGCACCCGCCCCTCGCTCAGCCAGTGAGCGGGAACCGGTCTGTATGTGGGATCCGAACCCTCGGCGGGAGCGCCACCACGCTCCCAAGTGGCGCACTGTAGCAGTGCGCCACCGGGCCGGCCCACAGCATTTTTAATTAATATAATGTTATGCTTGAAAGTCTGTTCTTGAAAGCTATATATTTCTCTGCAATAAAATGAGTATAAATTTAAATTTTCTGTGACATATGACCAAGTGTTAAAACATTTTCTTTGAAAATTATTTTTAAAGTAATATTAGGGCCGGCCCGGTGGCACACTGGAGAGTGCGCCACTTGGGAGCGCGGTGGCGCTCCCGCCGAGGGTTCGGATCCCATGTGGAGACCAGTTCTCGCTCACTGGCTGAGTGCGGTGCGGGCGCAGCACCGAGGGTTGCGATCCCGTTGCCGGTCCCTGGTGCAGGCATGACACCGAGGGTTGCGATCCCGTTACTGGTCAGTAAAAAAGACAAAAAGGAAAAAAAAAAAGGAATATTAAAACATAATTGCTCAAAGAAACATATATGTATTATAAATTTGAAAATAAACCTTAAAAATAAAGTAAATGAATCCTGAAATGAAGTGGATAGGAATGCTGTTTCCCTCTCAGGTAGTTAATTTGAGGATCTATCAGTGTATATCACACATTGATAGAATGGGACAGGAAGAAAATAGCTGCTGAGCTGTTTTTAAAAAAATTTTTAGTAGATAGATTAACATATTATCACACAGGTTTTTTTGGTGGTTTCATTTTCTCTATAAATGGCCTTTACTTGGAAGTTGTAAGTTATTAATCTTCACTCTTCAGGCACATATGCAACATTTACCCATCCATGGCGTCTCTCATTACATGCGTGATTCCTAGAACAGGGTCAGGTTGGAGGCTTTTTGAGCTCCTGCCTGCTCCAGCCTGGTGATTCAGATATGCACACCCGCCTTGGTTGAGAAAAATCACTGCCCCAGGAGACACTACAGCGTTTCGTTAGAAAGTCTGATTATAGATAATAGGAAGATTGCGTCTCCACATTACCTTAGACAGGTTCTACCAGGAATTAGTTTGGTTTATAGATCCTTCTTATGAATCCGTGTTCTAATGAAATATTTTCCATTTTACTGTAGAGTCTTAAATCTTTAACAAGCCAGACATCAAGAGGCTCCCTTCAGCCCTCGCCTCAGTCCTCTAGACTCACACTCACAGACCAGCTGTCTCCTGACCAAAAACAGAGGAGTGTCAACTCAGTGGCTCTTTCCAGTTGTTTAATTCCACAGTGTAATCAAGAAGCTTCAGTTTCACACAAAGTGGAGAGTAAAAGAAGTCGTTTCCTAAAGAAAAATATAGATGATGAAAATAAGGAATGCACAAATCCTAAAAGAAAACATCTTACATGTAATAATTCATCAGAGAAAACAAGTAAACATATGGCATTGGAAGAAGATGCTGATGAGACTGAAGCCTACCTAAATTCTGCGAATTCAAAAGATTTTAAAAAACATTTTTGTGACATTAGGTATTTGGATGATTTGGCAAAAAGCCAGCTGATTGAAATGCTCAAACAGGCAGCAACCCTAGTCCTAACTCTGATGTATAAGGATGGTTCAACCCAACTAAGAGCTGACCAGGTTAGTAAATAATGTTGATTTTTGTTTGTTTTGGCACCATAAATGAAGTCCATTTTCTTAGTGTCTGATTTTGATAGGAGAGCTAGAAATAAGATTCTAAGCCTTCTCCTCCCTGCTGGTGTTAAGTGATTGTCAATGTATAGTTCCCATCAGTTGTTTAGGAAACTGCCAAACTGTTTTGCAGAGTAGGTGCACCACTTCACATTCCACCAGCAATGAATGAGGGCTTCAAATTCTCCACCTCCTTTCCAATACTTGTCATTGTCTGCCTTTTTTATTTCAGCTATTCTACCAGGTGTGAAGTGGGATTCCATTGTGGTTTTAAGTTGCATTTCCCCAATTACTAATGACATTGAGTATCTTTTCATGTGCTTATTGGCCATTTGTTATCTTCTTTGGTGAAATGTCTATTCAAATTTTTTGTCCATTTTTAAACTGGGTTATTTGTGTTTTATTTTGGATTTGTAAGAGTTTTTATATATTCTGATACAAGTCCCTTGTATGATTTACAGTTCTCCCAATCCATGGCTTATTTCTTAAAAGTTTTGGATGGTATCTTTTGAAGCACAAAAATTGTTTAATTTGATGAACTCCAATTTAGTAATTTTTTTTCTTTTTTGGGGGGGGGCGGGTCAGTAAGGGGAGCCGAACACTTGACCTTGGTGTTATTATACTGTGCTGTAACCAGCCAGCCACTTAAATTATTAATATTATTATTACTATATTTTTTTGGTGGCTGGCTGGTAAGGATATCCGAACCTTTGACCCTGGTGTTGCAACGCCTTGCTCTAACCAGCTGAGCTAACTGTCCGGCCCTAATTTTTTTCTTTTATTGCTTATACTTTTGTTATTATATCTGAGAATGCTTTGCCTATTGCATGTCTTGAAAATTTACTGCTTTTTTCTTTTAAGAGTTTTATAGTTTTAGCTCTTACATTTAGATCTGTAACCCATCTTGAGTTAATTTTCATGTATGGTGTGAGATAAGGGCACAAATCCACCCTTTGCATGCGGCTCTCCAGTTGTCCCAACACCATTTGTGGAAAAGACTCTTCTTTCCCCATTGAAGTTTTTTGGCACTTGTATTGAAAATCAATTGGCTATAACAGTTTACTTCTGGACCTACAATTCTTTCCCTTAATCTTTGTGTCTTCCTTATGCCAGTGCTACACTGTCTTGATTCCTGGAACATTGTAGTAGCCTTTGAAATCAGGAAGTGTGAGTCCTCCAACTTTATCTATAATCTATAATTTTAGGAGTCTTCCCGTCTTATTAGTATTCAGTTTTCTGATCCTTGAGCATGGGATGTCTCTCCACTTATTTAAAATTTTCATTTCTTTTTTTTTTTTGCAGCTGGCTAGTATGGGGATCAGAACCCATGACCTTGATGTTATAAGGCTGTGCTCTAACAAAAAATTTTCATTTCTTTTAACAATGCTTTATAGTTTTCAGGGTAGTATGCCAGACTTGCTTTACTTTTCATTTTTTAAAGACATTTTGCTGGCTAAAGAATGTAAGTCGATAGTTTTTTCCCCATTAGTTTAAAGGTGTTATACCACTGTCTTCTAACTTGCTTTATTTCCCACAAGAAATCTGCTATCATCCTTATTTTTGTTTCTGTCTACATAATGTATTTCCTCACCTCTGCCTTCTTTTAAGGTTTTTTTCTTTATCACTGGTTTCAGGCGACTTGATTATGATATAGTTTTCTTGGTGTAGTGCTCTTCATGTTTCTTGTACTTGGGGCTTATTGATCCTTGTTGTTCTATAGATTAAGCTGGGGAGAAATGATGTACTTATGTTGAGTTTTCTAATCCTTGAGTATAGTATGTCTTAGTTATTTAGATCTTCTCTGATTTCTTTCATCAGCATTTTGTAGTTTTCAGTATACAGGTCCTGTACATGTTTTGTGGATTTATACCTATTTCATTTTTTGGAGTTATTATAAATGGTAGTTAAAATTATTTTTTTTCATTTTTATATGTTTATTGCTAGTATATAGAAATACATTTGATTTTTGTGTTTTGATCTTGTGTCCTGCAACCTTGCTAAATTCATATATTAGTTTCAGGATTTTTTAAAGAGATTCCTTTGGATTTTCTATGCAGACATTCATGTCATCTGTAAATAAGAATAGTGTATGGTTCCTTTCTGATTTGTCTGCTTTTTGTTTCTTTTTCCTGTCATATCACACTAGCTATGACTTCCATTATGATACTGAATAGGGTAGAGACCAGATTTGGAGGGTAAAATCATGGGTTTGGCTTTTGGCTTTGACTTTCATTAAAATACTGTTCATTTACAAGTTTAGGCCTTTTCTCTTTCTCTCTGCTTAATTATAAAATGTGACATGTTTCTTGAATATAAGTATTGTCTGTGTTTCATTTTGAAACTTTATTTTATTGCACATTTGCAGGCTCGAATTTCCCCTGTTAAAGGAATTGTGATGTTAATAAAGAGCAAAGTAGAAGGTGGCAGTGGTCATCTGGATGCCCCAGGCTGTGGTGGTGTTCTGGAGGATGGCTTCCTGTTTGATGATCAATGTATCTACATACAAACAGAGCACTCTTCTATTTGGGGCCAAGAACAAGAGGCACATAATCAATTTGCCAAGTAAGAAATCTTCACTCATTACCTTAAATCCTATTTACATGCCTGCTTTATCCTAACGTAAAGTTTTCCAAGCTCCAATTTTAATTATTTGAATTTTTAGAAGTTTTATGTAGGCACATGAAAGTAAAATGTATCTAAATAATAGGAACCTCTGCAAACACTGGCCTTCTCCCCCCCAGAGAGGTTTTGGAATGGAGTTTCCATTCTTCTGTGGGAGTCTGCTTCAGGGTTTGAATCAACTTCACAGAGAGAAGCTGGGGAGAAAGGCATCGTCCCCAAGCCCTGAAAACCCACGCTCACTTCCAGACCCCCCGTTGAATGCCCCATCCCGTTTGTTCACTCATTCCCAGCATAGAAGATGAAGTTATCCCTGCCTTCAAACAGTAAATTATTGGGCCAAGCCCGTGGCGCACTCGGGAGAGTGCGGTGCTGGGAGCACAGCAGCACTTCCGCTGCGGGTTCGGATCCTATATAGGGATGGCCGGTGCGCTCACAGCGCTCACTGGCTGAGCGTGGTGTGGCCGGTCTCAAAAAGGACAAAAAAACCAAACAACAACAAAAAAAAAAAACAGTAAATTATCCTACATACCAGAAAGGATAGTATAAATTGCAAAGCCTCGTGTCTGTGAAAATAGGCAAGACCTGTCTCACCTGGACCTGCTCTCTGAGAATCACAGAATCTTAGAGCAGGCAGGGATGCTTCTGTTGCTCCTTCTTGACTCTAAAAAGCCCTTTCTGAGTTGGAGCCTGTGCCCTCATCACCATTTCTTTGCTCGGGTTGTTGGCCAGACTCGGGTTTCTGCCCTGGCTGGGGCATCTGCTGCCTGCTGAGCCCTCTGAGTTTGAGGTGAATTAGCTGCTCTGGGGGAGCTCCTTGAGGCCACTATCCTGAAGAGGAGTTCAAGGTGGCTTTGGTGGAAGATATTCGGTACTAGCCCTTCCATGCCTCATACAGGCTCACTGGGTTCTAGGTGATTTTTAGGTAACTTTTGGGGAGAAGGTGACAATGTTTGACAAACATAGCACTCTGCTCCCAAGAAACCCTTAACCTTATTTTTATGTAATTTTTAAAGAACAATTAGTCAGGTCTATTCTATGGAGAACCCTCATGAGAAATGAGAATAGACTCTAATATTTGGATGGCCTTTTATGAATTCCAGATTTATATCTCCTACTTGACATTCTCTACTTGCACATCTAATAGTCATTTCAGCCTAACAACACATCCAAACCTGAGCTCCTATCTTCCCCTGAAACCTGATTCCTACAGCCTGGTTGTCTTAGTCAGTATCAGCACTAGCCCTTCATGAACTCAGGCCAAAGGTCCTGGCATTATCCTTGACTTTACTCTTTTTCCACAAACCATATTAAAGCTCTTAGTGAATCCCATGGACTCTACCTTCAAAATATAGCTAGAATCTACTCTACTCTTACCCACTCTGCTGTTGTCACTTGGTGGAGGCCGTTACCTCCTGACTGAATTGCAAGAGCTTCCGGACTGAACTTCCACTTCCACCTGTCCCTTCAGTCTGTTTTCAGCACAGCACTCAGAGTGGACCTGTTAAACATAAATCAGACCACATCACTCCCCTGCTCAAAATCCTCAAACAGTTCCTGCTTGGCTCTGAAGGAAAACCAAAGTCACTGTGACGGCCCTTGAGGTCTGCATGCTCTGACCCCTTCACTGTCTTCACCCGCATGGCCTCCTCTCTTCCGGCCTCAGTGCAACCAGTCTGCTTGCTGTTCCTGGCCATGTGGAGCACGCCTCTACCCAAGGGCCTTGTACCAGCTGTCCCCTCCCCGCAGCGTTCTCCCAGATATCCATAAGGTTTGCTGCTTGTTCCTTTATGTTTTTCTCTAAACAAACAAAAGTGGATTATGAACACACAAAAGTAGAGAGTAGTATGCACATTCACCCAGACCAATATTATCAAAGATTTTTCCATACTTCCTTTATCTATCTCTTTTTGGGGGTAGGGGAAAGAGCTGTGATTAAAGAAAATTCCAGACCTATCATTTTCCCTTCACATGTCTCAGGGTGCAGCTCTAAAAAAATATGTTTTTTTTCTTTAACGTAGCCACAATACCATTTTCAAACTTAACGAATTTAATACCCACTCCAAATTTAAAGTTGCTGGATTGTCTCAAATATGTCTTTCTACAGTTGATTTATTGGGATCAGGAACCCAAAAAGGCCCACATATGACATTTGGTGGCCATGTCTCTTCTGCTGCTTCTGAGCTAGAGCAACCCCCAGCCCTATCCTGCATCTTGTAGAAGGTCACACATCCTGATTTATCTGTTGGCTTCACTGTGGGTTTTTGACTTGTTCTCCTTTTCTCCATATTTTCTGTAAACTGGAGTTTAGCTCCAAGGCTTGGTTACTCAGGTCTAACTTTCTTCACACAATGCTGCCTAATGCTCCATCTGTGATGCAGCTGGATGGCTAGATTTCACAAATAAAAACACAGCACACTAAATTTGAGTTCCAGATAAACAGCAACTAATTTTTATAGTATAAGTATGCCCCAAATATTACATGGGACATACTTACACTCGAAGAATCTATCTCTCAAAAATGTTTAAAATTTTTTCAGGTGAAAATTACTTTCTGTTTTTCTGAAATCCAAACTTAACTGGGTGTCCTGTATTTTATCTGGGTACCCCTAGTGATGCAGTTGAGTTGTCCCAGTTTTTGAGGTGCTGAGATGGGGCTGTGGGTTCAGGTGGTGTCAGTGTGATTCCTCCATGGTGAGCTTCTCTACTAAACTTTCCCTTAACGGTTTTGCCTGTTGATGTGGGTCATCTGAAACACTGATTTAATTATGGTTAGTAAGACAGTGATTTTTCTAATTTCTTGCACATATATTGGCTAAAATTTTCCATAAAGAACCAGCCTCCATCAGCTAGACTTTTGTTCTGCTTACTCTTCATGTCTTTGCTTAAGAGTTACTTTATGAACCAGGACTTCTCCACTGCCTGTATAAAACAGTACCGCGCCAACAGCACACGCACTCTCCCTTCCCTTCTTCATGTTTCTGCATAACATCACTACCAATGTCTTTCTGTGGGTCTTGCTTACTTTTCTTACTGTGTGTTTTCCCCTAAGCTCCCTGAGGGCAGGATGTTTTTGTTTTGTTTATTTTTGTATCCCTGACATCTAAAAACAGTGCAACAAAGCAGGTGCTTAATTAATATTTATTCAATATTATTACTGAATGAATGAGTGTTGAGACTTAATTTTTGTAAGTTCTGGTACAATTATATGAAAATATTGCCTAAAGTACAGGTACAATAAAATTGGAAGAAATAATCCCAATTCTATGATAGTATCTTTGAGATACAAAATGAATTTAAATAAATCACATTTAAGTTAATACACACATAAATAATTTTTTGCACAAAATGTATTGAATAACATTTATTGAATGCCTGTGCAAGGTCTTTTCACATATATGATCTCTCTCCATCTTCACATTGTCTCTATATCTTAGGTCTTATTAATTCTGTTTTATAGAGGAAGAAACTGAGGCTCAGAGAGATAATTAAAGTCATAGCTCAGTCTTGAGACTTCAGCTCAAGTGCCCTTTTTTAGACTCACCTAGCTTTTTTGTATTATAGCTGCCTTTTTGCAAATGTGATATAACCAACTTACATATAACTGACTTATAAAGCACATTGTGTTTTAGCATTTTATTTTACAAGATATTATTTTTGTTGTTTGTCTTATCAAAATAGAAACCAACTAGCTTGTGTCTCTTATTAGCAGAAGATAGTGTGGTTATTAGATTATCTCTTTAAGGACCCCTGAGTGTCAATAATGAAGAAGCATCCCCATGGAAGAGAGCTCCAGCTGTCCCCAGTTCTTCTCCCTCATGAGCTCTTCGCTCCCTCTTTCCCTTCTCTCCTGTATGCCGTCCGCAGTCCAACCAGGCTGAGACCTGAAGCCTTGTTATTGGCACTTTGCTCTCCCTACCATCCTGGCCTACCTGTTCAAAGGAAACAAAGGTGAAATCACATAAAATGCAAAAAATCTAAAAAAGTCTGTTTGTGGAGCAAGACAAGCAAAATCTAATTACTTGTTGACTTAGTATGCAGAGCTTATTAGGCTCCACAGAGCTTATTAGTTTCTTTCTTCCTCAACCCTATCCAAAGAACCTCATGAGTGCATTAGTAAACATTTGCTCTAAAGTGAGATTAATGGCTTGGTGGCTTAGAGTTTGGGCCGCTGACAGCAGTAACATATGGTCTCAGACCCCAGTGTTGCCCTTTAGCTGTGTAATCCTGGGCAAACTGCTTAAGCTATTGCAGCCTAATTTTCTTCGTCTGCAAAGTGGATCTAGCATGTTCCTGATCGGATTGTGATGAGGTTTTCTGTGAAATGGTTAGGGTGGTATCTGCACATGATAAGTGTTCAATAAATATTAACTATAAATTAACCTCATATTCAGGGAGCTCATGATATAATGAGAACAAACTTTCAAGGTACACTGTATAGTGCTGTGGTTTGAATGTCCCCTAACCTCATGTTGGAACTTAATCTCCGGTATAGTGGTAGAAGGAGGGGCTTTTAAGAGGTGATTGGATCTCAAGGACTGTGCTCTGGCGAATAGATTCATCCATGCATAGAGTAATGGGTTGATGGTTTAATGGATTGTCATGGACATGGACTAGTGGCTTTATAAGGAACACATGAGAAAGCTCTTGCCATCTTCACCATGTGACTCTCTGGTCACCACGAGACTCTGTAGAGAATTCCCACCCAGAAGAAGGCCCTCACCAGATGTATCTCTTGGACCTTGGACTTCTAATCCTCCAAAACTGTAAGAAACAAATTTCTTTTTTTTTATAAATTACACAGTATCAGATATTCTGTATAAGCAACAGAAAATGGACTAATACATATAGCAAATGTGGTTCCTACATACTAGATGTATGGACAGGAGTCTAGAAGGAACATAGGAGAGGGTGCAGCTCTCTGTGTGGGGAATCAGAGCCTACCCTCCTGAAAAGTGGCACTTGAGCAGCTAGCAAAAATTGTGAAAGGACAACTGCAGTCAAGAATACAGCATGTGCAGTGGCCCAGGAGTGTGAGAGGATGTGGCACAGTTCGGTGATGGAGGAAGAGGGAAGAATGTTTGGAGAGAGTTCTGAGAGAACAGGCTGAAGATCCATCTGAGGGCTTGGCTGTCAAGGGTCTAGAGTACATATGCTCTTCTCAGGGATTTAGGTCTTGTTCTGCAGGTAATGGGCTTTACCCAGGGGTAAGCTCATAACAGCTGTGTGACCTTGCTATGTAACTTAGCCTCTCTGTCTCTCAGTTTCATCATCTATAAAATGCAGATAATAGGCAATATCTACCTCATAGGATTCCTTAGTCAATCTGTGTATGTATCGTATATAATAGCTGCTAGTAGAGTAGTAGTAATATTTTTCAAAGGTTCAAAGTTCTAAATTAATGTCTAAATCAGTGAATTTCTTTTCATCTTCTAGGAATGTGCTATTTCAGACACTGAAATGTAAATGTCCTGTTATTTGTTTTAATGCTAAGGATTTTGTGAGAACAGTGCTGCAGTTTTTTGGTAATGATGGCAGTTGGAAGCATGGTAAGCTGTAGTTTTTATTGTCTCTAAAATTTAAGTCCTCAGTGGTGGTTCCTCCCGAGAATGGGAGGTCAGTGAGGGCTACTGTGCCACAGACCCCAGGGGACCTGGACACACAGACTATGATGTACCATCTCACAGCCCTAAGCATGGGGGTACTGTCCCTCTGTGTTTCTAGGTTATTTGAATTTTTACAAGTGTATGTTACTTTTGTTATTTAAAATAGGAAAGAATTAACTTATGCAGCATGGTGAGAATGGAATTTGTTATTACCATAAATATCATATAAACTTTCTAAGAATTAAACTATAGTCCAGAGTAATTAACACCAAAACAATATAGGACACATTTTTTCTTTCATTTAAAGTAGTAAAGATATTTTATAATCTTTTTTTACTAAATGGACATATGTGTGATAAAACAAATATAGCAGAATACATTCACTGTAGAATCTAGATGGTGGATATATGAGTGTTCGCTATACAATTATTTTCAAATTGTCTTTATGCTTGAAAATGTTCATTACAAAATGTTGGAAATAAAAAACTTTTTATTGCAGAAGTTTCCAACACATACAAAAGTACCCATCACCCAGTTTCAACAATGATCATCTTACAGCCAATTTTTTCCCTCTGTAACTCTCCACCCTTCCAAACCCTCACCCCCTGGATATTTTGTAGCAAATCCTAACCATCATATGATTAATCTCTAAATATTTCAATTGTATGCCTAAAATACGGGGAATTTCTCTTTTTTTTTAAAGAAAATGTAATTTTATTAGTATTATTTTTTCACATTCTAGGATTTTGTTGTGGAGCAGTTGAGAGGGAGGAGGAGTGGAAAGGGGAAGGAAACGGGATGGAGGAAGGAGGGAAGAAGAGGGGTGGGATTGAGGCCTGTGGCACCCCCCTCATTCCCATAGGGGAGACCAGGGGGCTTTCAGTGGTGGCTTAGTCATTGCCAGGCAGGGTGCAGATGTAAGGGGGGTGTGGCAAAAGCCCTCACCCCCCACCACCCCAGCTCAGGAACCCAGGGAACTTCTTGTTGAGGCTTGGTGGTCATTGCTGGGCTGTTTGCACATGTTGGGGGACTGTGGCTGAGGCCCTTGGCCCCCTACCACCCCAGCTTGGGAGAGCCCAGGGCACTTCCTGTGGGCAGCTCGGTGGTTGTTGCTGGACTGGCTGTGGGTGCTCCAGACCAGAGTTTCCACACAACCCAGGTGTACCAGACCTCATGAGACCTGGAAGTACATATGAGGTCAACCATTAAAACCTGAGCTGCACAAAATGCCTTCCCCGGAGAATCAGCAGCAATGCAACAATTTAGCTCAACCACAGGACTCAAGTGCTGGTCCCCAGAGGAAGTTCCCCCATTTTAGAAGTAAGCAAAGGATAACACATTAGTTCCAGTGCAGAGTTTAAGTGGTAGGAACAGAAAATAATACAACACAAAACTGAAATAAAAAACAAAATACCTACAGATCAGAGACAAAGTTTGATATTAACTAGTAAAGGTCTCATATCACCAAAGAACACCTGTAAAACCTAGAAGGACCAGAAGTTCCCTAGGCTACCAAGTCAGGGAGTGGAGAGGAATGGAGGCATCAGCCATGCCCCCCAGCACCACAACCAGTCCCGAGGGTGGGGGATCTGGGGCCTCAGCCATGCCCCCCTGACACCCACAACCAGCCCAGCAACAACCACCAAGCTGCTGCAGGAAGCACCCTGGGCTCCCAAGCTGGGACAGTGCGGGGGACAAGGGGTTCAGCCACATCCCTCTGACATCTGCACCCATACCAGCAATGACCAAGCCACCGCTGGAAGCCCCCTGTCTCCCATGCAGGAAAGAGGGGGGCCAGAGGCCTCAACCCTACCCCGCCTCCTTCCTCCTTCTCCCACCCTATTTCCTTCCCCTTTCCCCTCTCCCTTTCCTCCCCAACTGCTCTGCAACATCATAGAATGTAAAAAAAAAAAAATAATATTAATAAATAAATAAATAAATAAACTTAGAAAATAAATGAATAGAGCTCTGTACCTGCCAATGTAAGAGACTTCCTGAACATCAAATGAAAAAGTCATGATACTGACTGCCTTGGTAAATGTAAATCTCTTAGACTAGTATAACATAAATAACAGAAAATATAATATTTAATGTTATATGATCTAAGACTATAGTTTTATTTAAAGGAAAACAAACTATTTTGTATAGGACAATTCATAATGTTAAAGTAACTTAAAAAGCATTCACTTTAGCTCCAATTTATCTATTAGCTTATAACTCCCCCATTCTTTTATAACTCCCCCTCCATGTCTAAAATTCTCTTGTATTAAAGTTTATCAATTTAGCAAATATAATTATTTTATTTATTTTGCTTTTTTTGTTTTGTTATTTTTCTCACTTAATTTTTTAGAAAGCACTTTCACATGTGTCTCACAGATATTTACAGTAACCTTTTCCCCCAGTTTTCAGATAAAGGAAACTAACACTGAAGGGACGAGGTGACCTCCCAGTCTCATGGGTATTTCTGACTCAGGCCCAGTGTCCCTTCCGTTGCATTGAGGCACACCGCGTTAGTCGTCTCACAGGGTTTTCCTCACATCAGGGTGAAGTCGAAGCCCCTTTGCCTGCACACACTGCCACCTGCCCAACACTCAGTGATGAGGACGCCGAGTGGGCCCGGGAGGCCCCTACCCTTCCTCCTTTGCTCAGGAGGCTTGGGCTCCCAATACCATGATACGGGGTCACGGAAGGCCTGGGAAGACAGCCCAGTGCGGGACTGGAGGGGGACATGATCGAAGGGTTGGGGTTGGGGAGAGGAGGCAAGAAGTCTGCCCAGGATTCCAACTCTGATCGCTTTTACAATGGTTTTGAGAGATCCAAATTCCAAGTGAGCTTGGACTCCTTGCCCCCTTTTTGGCTGTTTGGGATCTGCTTCTTTAGTGCGACCCCATGGAGATGGGCTGTGTGCCACCTTCTACAAGGTTCGAAATTCTCGAGGAGTGATGGGGAGTCACTCTGTCACTTAGCTCTGTACCCTGAGGGCATGGTAATGCTATTATAATCCATTTGCACCTTAAGAACCGTGTCAAAGCAGGGAAAACAACAATTATTCATTTTTCTTGGGATGATTAAATGCCCTTTTTCTCTCCAGTTGCTGATTTTGTAGGGCTAGATGCCAGAATTGCTGCATGGCTTATAGATCCTAGTGATGCTGAACCCTCTTTTGAAGATTTAGTGGCAAAATACTTAGAAAAATCCATTACAGTTAATTTGAGGAGCACTTATGGAAATTCCTCAAGAAATATTGTGGTGAGTTTTGTCAACCTTGATATAATCCTATTTTTTTTTTCCTAGAAGCTTTTTCTACTTTATAGATACTCTAACAGTGAAAAGAACGTTGCCAGTGCTCATTTTCACCTGTTCAGCACAAATTCTTTTGACCCTAGCATTTCTGGTTGAAAGTGTTGAGTCAGGATGGATGACTTTCATCATTTCAGGAAAACCATTCCTGGGAAATCCCAGTCAAAGCTTGACTCTTCTTAAGGGTCTCCCTGCTGTCAGAGTTGCCTGCTCTGTGAACAGAAAACTGCTCCTTTATAAATCCTTAGTGCTGGTGACGTGGCCACTGTGGCAGAGCTCCCAGGATGGCCACTCTTCAGTTTATGTTGGGAAAATTATAGGAGCTGCCCCGGGTGTATCTCTCCAAGCCCTCCCCTTTAGAGATGCCCCCAAGTGTCAGGAACCACAGTCTGGAGAAGCAAAGGCACTCGCAGCCATAGAGCTGGGCCTGGAGTCCAGGGAGAGGGCCCAGCAGGCCCCGAAGGAGAAGTCAGGGCCTCTCTGTTTAGGCTTCCTGGTTGTTGGTGAACAGCTACACAGTGACAGCACTGCTGGAAGAACATGATGCAGCAGGAGCTCAAGGTGCCAGGGAGAGCAGGAGGTGGCTTGTGCCTGGCTTGGCTCCATGCACTTCATCCTCACAGACCATCTGGGAGGTGAGGATCTGTGCTGTAAATAGCAGAGGTGCACTCCCCCTTAATGGAAAAAGAGATTTATCAGAAGGATATGGGGTAGCTCACAGAATCAGAGGAGAAGCAAGACCAGGCCTGGGAAGAAGAGGAGCCAGTTGGTCTCAGGGAGCAGGAGCCATAGGCTCAGTACCAGTGTGAGCTGTGAGCCACTTTCATCCAAGACTCAAGTTTCAGCACTGGGAGAGTGTCTCCCTTCCCTTTCTAGTGTCATATGTTGACCCCCCACCCCCAGAGGAGGGCAGGACATCTTAATTAGCATTCCTACCCAGGTTCCATGCCCTGAGTCCTGGAGGCTTTCCCAAACAGAAGCTGAGATATTACTGAAAGAAGGAGTTGTCCACCTAGTTATTATCAGTCCAAATTACAGATGAGAAAACTGAGGTGCAGAAAGGTTATGTATACACAGCTTGCCCAAGGTCAAGTTAAGGCCATGTTCAGAGTTTGGATTTTTTACTTTAAAGTCCAGTTTCTTTCTAGTATACACATGCATAAGTTAGGGATAGGAGTGCCTGCAAAGAACAGAAATCTGGCTACAGGGTGGGTGTTTTCTCCATGAGGAGAATCGGGCACTCCTCGTCCAGGCTGGAGCCGGTGCTCATCAGCTCTGTCAGGGTCAGAGCTCCCCGAGTGCCAGCACTTCCTTTCAGTGGGAAGCTGCGCCCTGAGGCCCCTCATCCACCCTCCAGGTGGAACAGAGGCAGCCTCGGTCGTGGTCCCACTTGTGTCTTATTGGTCAGATGGGTGTCTAGTGGAGCCATGCAGTGCGGAGGGCAGGAGAGGGAGGTGGGGCCATTCATTAATCTACAGGATCTGCCACACTGTGCTGCTCTGAAGAGGTGGTATGAACTGTCCAGGAAAACCAGAGGGAATTCCAGGTAGTGGAAGCAACATGGAAATGAGAAGGACTCACAGGGAATGTGGCTCCTTTTGGAGAGAAACAAGAGCAGTGGGGGAGGAGGGGGATGGCTGTGGGGAGCCAGAGGAGATGTGTAGGGGCTGTTCACAAGTCTGTGCCCCGATACGGAGCTGGGCCTTTCCCAGGACTTCAGAGTGGGAGTGGTGTGGTCCGCCTTGGAGGTTAGGAAGCTCCTGCAGGCAGCCACGTGTGATCCTGCCAGGTGGCAGCCAGGAGCTCCACATGGAGGTGTTCCTCCTCTCCTGCGTGGCCTCCCAACCAGTCGCTCACGGAGGGCTGAGAGGAGGCTGTGACTAGAAAATAGTGCCAGGTGTGCAGCCAGCCGCTGGCCCCTTGGGGGTTCCCACCAACCTGAGGCCCAGAGCAGAAAACTGAGTCTGAGCCGCCTGGAGTCTGGGCGTTGTTCGGCAGAGTTAGGTGTTGAGTAGGAGGTCCCGGAGCTCCACTTCAGCAGGAGGAACTAGACTGTGGATGAAGGCTCCGCCTCATCGCATCCCCCTCTTTGTCAGTTGAACACAGACCTTTGTCCGTCTCCCAGGGCCACTGAGTGTCCATCCCTAGGTGAGGACAGATGGTGAGAGTGGAGCATGGGTGTGGGGTGCTGGAGCCGAGAGAGTGGAGGCTGTGGGAGCTGGAGAGGCCAGTGTGCGTTTTCCTCTCTCTGCTGTCATTTAACCATTGCACCTTGACATCGAGCTTCTGTACACTGCTCTTTCTCAGTCGGTAGCATGAGGAAGACCCCTGGGCTAGGGTCAGTGTCTGGCTATGGATAGCTTGCACTTGCAAGGTGGAAGTGCCCCCTGTAGACTGGAACTCGTCTACTTGGGGCGATTGGTGATACTGCCACATATCTAACGGATACCTGCTGTCGAGAGCCTTGTGGGGTTTCACCAGGAAACATTTTTGCGAGTTGTGTCAATTCCCAGACTGTGATGAGCATTGCCGCCAAGTTCGTCTAATTTTTAATACTTTTGTTCTTTTATAGAATCAGAATGTATATGGGAATCTGAGGATACTCTATAGACTTACAATGGACCTTTGTTCTAAACTGAAGGCAAGACGTTTTATTGGACTTTCTGTTTGAAGGTGCTCTTGCTTAGTGCTGTACAGGAGCTGCCATTTCATGCGCATGCTCACAGGGAGCAGCAGCATAGTGTTTTGAGTGTGAAGGAAATGAAACCTTGAGTTCAGATTAAGTTAACCTATGCATCACTCAGAAAAGGGTTGTCTAGAAAGATAAGACCCAAAGCTTTAAAAGGGTTTTCTACAGGTTGAAAACAATTTTAACATTTTTACAAGCCTCCCCTTTAACTGGCATGTTTCTAATGCTGTAGTCAACAAGAAAGCTGGGAGTTTATTTTGGTTACTAGTGAAATGGACACAGCTTCACTCAGAGTCTTGTTGGGAAGCAGGTAGCCATTGGAAGGAACAATTGAGAAGAGCTGAATGCAAGGACTGTGTCCTGGGGGGAGGGCCTGGGAAGGGAGCCAGCAAGGCGGAGAAGCCTCCAGGGACAGGCAGTGGCCAGATTTTCCACCCCTGGGCTCGAAGTGCAAGCTGCTCTCAGGAGGAAACCTGTTTCTCCCTTCCTGCGCTCATCTCCTGCTGGTGCCCAAAGAGGCAACACCAATCTGAGGGCAGAGAAGGAGCCCAGGTGATGGGGACTGAAGGTAGTTAGTGCCACCTCATGAGCAAAGGGCAGGGCAGAGAGTGGGTCTGGAGGGGCAGGCAGAGAAGGTTGGGGGGAGTTGGAAGATGAGGCACAGGACTCTGTCAGATGGCAGCAGTAAAGAACAAAAAAGATGAAAACTCTAATAAAGAACATGGAAGGTGAGCCAAATAAATGGAGAGATATTTCATGCTCTTAGAGGAGGTAACCTAATATAAAGATTCCAGTGCTCCCCAAATTAACATAGTGTCAATGCAAACTCAATGAAAATTCTAGGTAAATTTTTCGGAATTGAGTAAGCTTATTCTGACATTAAAATGGAAGACTTAAAGTTTACAAATACTTAAACCAGTCTTAAAAATGAGAAAGAGTAAAGAAAATTGGGGTGAGACTTGGCCTATCTGATATTTCTAAATATCTTTACCAAGTCTTGATGATACAATAGAATACTTAAAGGAAACAGCAGTTTTATCAGAGCAAGAGAGGAGCAGATGTCGGATGGGAAACCAACCATGTCCTCTACAGGAGTTCCCTTAATTCTAGCTCACCAAAATTAAGTAGGCTTAACAACAAAATGCAGATACAAGTAACAATTTAAACTAACATTGACTTATTTCTTCCTATGAAACAGGTTTATGGTTTATGGCAACTATTTTGTATTCTGGAGCTTCCTCTGATACCAGTTTTGGCAGGTGAGTTACAAAGATGAAGTACAGTCATTTTTCTAAAGAATTCTTTACATCGTCTGGGAATGAATGTTCGCTCTAACTTATTTAGGAGTAAGTGGCATATCTCATCAGCACTAAAGAGGTAGCAGGTCGTTTATTTTCCCTTTCTGTCACAAGAGGGGTTGCACTGCATCACCACTTGGTGTGGAAGGAATACAAGGTTCTGACATTTCCGTCATAGGATCCCTCTGTACTGTCTGGCCAGCATCATCTCTAATCCTGGTTTGCTGTTCTAGTACCCCTCCCCCCAGCCTGATAGAGTCCTGAGAACCTCCCTGCAACAATCTTTGCAGGGCTCTCTTCTGCCTTTGCCTCTGAGCCAGGTCCTGCTGGGCCTGTAGGAAAGTAGAGCAGAGCCTGGCACTCTCAGCCCAGCTGATCAGAGACAACTTTACATTCAGAGTGTGCCAAGGGCCAGGCCATGGCTGCCAGGGCAGTCCCCACACCTGCTACCACCTCAAAGACTGGCTCTGCTCACGCTCCTTTTTCTTCGCTTGTAACCCGGGGTCCTGAACGACCCTTTGCAGCGGCAGGCAGGCAGAAGGGACTAAGTATCGGGGCTTGCTGTCTGTGCTGACCCCGTCAGGGAGGGAGGCACTTCAGTCTTTACTGAAGAGGATTTCTTGCTGCAATGCAAATGTGATCTGACTTGGTTTTTGTGTCACAGTGATGGAAAGCTACCACATTCGGGTGGACAAAGAAAAACTGGAGAGGACATCCGCCCTTCTGGGGGTAAGTTATTTCAGACTGTTGGTACTTGTCATTGCTCTCCTGCATGATTAGTTGTTCCCAGCACTGGGTCTAGAGATTCTGCTGTTCATTGACCCTCCTTTGCCTGAGACTAGTGTTGACACCATTCCCCTTCTCTCTGAGTCCTGCCTTGAAAAGACGGAAACAGCCTCGCATTTAGTGCAAGTGTGTGTGGGGGGGGGCGGGATAGGGGGAGAAACATCACATCTAATGGGCATGTGCAGGGTTGAAGCCTCACATCTAGCATGTGGGGTGGGGGATGCATTGCATGGAGTGTACGTGGTCGGCAGGGGCAGGGTGGTATTCAATGGATCCTCTAAAAAGGTAGGTCCTTCTAAAAAGGTAGGTTTTTTTTTTTGTCTTTTTGTCTTTTTTCGTGTCCGGCAACGGATTGCAACCCTCAGTGTTGCGCCCGGACCGGACCGGACCGGCAACGGGATCGCAACCCTCGGCGCTGCGCCCGCACCTCGCTCAGCCAGTGAGCGGGAACCGGTCTGTATGTGGGATCCGAACCCTCGGCGGGAGCGCCGCCGCGCTCCCAAGCGGCGCACTGTAGCAGTGCGCCACCGGGCTGGCCCAAAAGGTAGGTTTTTTTAAAAATGAGGACACTGCCCACTATAGTTTGGTGAAGGAATTCTTGTGCTTCTTGAAAAATGAAAATACACAGAGATGTGCCCACCCTGACTAGATTAGACTCTTGTTTGTTTTTCTATTTAAAAGACAAATTTTAACAGACGTAAAAAATAGCGATTTTGGTGAGGACATAATGGCATCTTTTTATGGGTTTATTTCTATTTACCTGATTACTAATGAGGTTGAACAGCTTTTCATATCATCATTAGCTATTCGGAGTTTCTTTTTCTTTTTTCTTTTTTGGCAGCTGGCCAGCATGGGGATCTGAACCCTTGACCTTGGTGTTATAACACCATGCTCTAACCAACTGAGCTAACCAGCCAGTCCCTGGAGTTTCTTTTTTGTCAAGAAACTGTTCAAGTCTTTACCCATTTTCATATTCTCTCACTGATTTATAGGATATCCTGATATATTCTGGATAAGAGCCTGTTATGGATACTTTCTCCTTTTCTGTCTTGTTTTATGTGGTGTTGGATCCCTTTTCTAGTCCTAGTATTGCTGGAGAATGCATTCTTCCTCTCCCTCATTTTGGTGTATTTTTTTTCAGTTTGTTTCCCTAGGTTTTGGGGACGGTGACTCTATGAGCCCGAGTATTCCACCACGAGTCTAAATATGTATTTTTGTGTAATCAATTATGTTATAATAAAATAAATAAATAAAATATGTATTTTTAATGTCCATTTTGGTAAATTTGTAGATTATTTTTTATTCTATTAAGAGTTTTGTTGGGAATTGTTTGATGAAGAAAAGTAATAATTTTAAATTGTGAAAATTATTAATGAGATTAATTGTGTTTATCACATTTTCAGGCTCATCTCAAGGAATTGGAGCAAGAAGCCCATTTTGTTGCAGGAGAACAATTTCTTATAATGAGTAATAATCAGCTTCGAGAGGTAAAGCTAAATTTTGGCCCTTTCATAAATATATTTCTTAATCAGGAGTTAAAAGAAATTAAAGGGAGATTTATTTTTAATTTATAAATGTTATTCTATGTTGTTTGGTATGTAAGCTGTTCATGTTCTCTCACCAATAATGAACACGTTGAGATTGATTACTTCAAAGCCTTTAACTGAGAAAAGTACTAAATCAGAATTTAAATAGACAAGTTTTCTAACATCTCTTTGGGTATGTTTTCTCTTGCTGGTGGCTTTAACTCTGTTATAGTGCATTCTCTCTCTCTTAAGTCTGGCCTTCTCTTAACACATGGAAATTGCTCTTGTTGAAGATCCTCTTTGGCAAGTTGAAGCTGCACCTGCTGAGTCAAAAGAAGAGTCTTCCCAGAACGGGGCTACGGGAACACCTGTCCATGTCAGAAGCCATGGTAAGATTCCAAAATCATCCTTTTCCTTTTTGAAATGATCGCTGTCTGAACCAGATGTGAGCTGACTCTCAGACCCTTCTGAGCTTCCCTCGGAGGGTCCTCCCCTCGTGCTGGCAGCAGCCACCACAGAAGAGGTGTTTCCCACCCCAAGATTGTGCTCCTAGCTGTGAACCCAGGAGGAGAGACAGACAGTACACTTGTCCAGAAGCAATTAATTGGCTTGATTTCCTGCAAAGATAAGTTCATGGAGTTCTGTTCTTGAAATGAAGTTCTTAGCAATCCAGTCATGACCTCTTTGTTTCATGTCCCTGAAAGAGACTGGAAGTGGGAGAGGTCATCAGTCTTCTCCTTTCCCCAAATGTATTTTAGAGTATTTTAGCTACCCTTCCCTGAGAGAGGAATATATCTTTAAAAAGACAGGGAGCAGTGAGATTCTCCTCTGTTGGGATGGTAGAGTGTAAGCCAATATTCAGAAGCCATTAAGTAGTTTTACTGAGAGGATACAGAGTGGAGGTCAGTAAGTAAGTGAACTCATGTCGCTGTAGTGAGAACCAGCTCCCGGGGCTGCAGTTTGTACTTCCTGTGCCCTGTCTGACTTTGCAGCCGAGGACCATCTCCTCTCTGGCCGCTTTGCCTTGGCAGCACTGCACTCCTGCTCAGCTCGGCACCTTAGAGCGCTGCTCTCCTGGATCTGAGCTCACCGACTGTGCCAACCTGTGGCCCTCGTGTCCCAGGGGGGAAGGATGGACTCCTGTGGAGGATTCTCTCCTAAGTGCACTTGGAACCGCCCTCCTCCAAATCCTGTTCTTCAAGCCTTCTTCACCTTAGTGAAGGGCCCATCCTCCTCCCAGGTCCTTGGGAGCCAGTGCAGAGTAGTGAGTGAGAGCAGGGACAGCAGGTCAGCCACCATTACTTGACTGCTCTATGCCTTAGTTTCCTGGTCTATGAAAGAAAGATAGTAGTAGGAATTCCCTACTGGAATCTTGTGAGGACTCAGTGAGTGAGTGGGTGTTGAACAGCACTTCGGACCATGCCTGGCACACAAGCTCCTGGAAAACCAGTGAGTGTTGGCTGTTACTGTTAGCCACTCCATCCGAAACCTGGGTGTGAGGCTGGCTGGTTAGCTCAGCTGGTTCGAGCACAGCCTTATAACCCCAAGGTCACAGGTTCAGATCCCTGTGCTGCCAAAACAAACAAACAAACTTGGGAGTCGTCTTTGACTTTCTTTCACCCTCACCCACAGCAAGTCTCACAGTTGCTATCTACAACATGTGCTGAGTCTGCCCCTATCACCTCCATAGTCCTCTCTCACTTACTTTACTCCAAAACCTCCAACTAGTCTCCTGGCCTCCACTCTTACCTTTGCTGGTCATTCTTCACATCCAGGCAGGGTCAGCTTTTAAAAGTATTGGAAAAATCACATTGCTGCCCTGACCAAAACTTCCAGCGGCTTCCCATCACACTTAGAATCAAACCCAAGCTCCTGAATGCGTCCCCCAGGCCGTGGGCCTGGCTCTGCCCTTTCCCTGGCCCCTTTCCTCTGAACAGCCTGCTGCCCACGGCTCTGCACAGGCGTGTCCCTTGGTCCCCAGACTCTCACCACAGATTTTGCATGCTGGCTCCTGATTGTCAGCTTAAATATTGCCTCCAGAAGACCTTCTCTGGTCACCTAGACTATAGCAAGACCCCAGTTGTTACCTGTTTCTTTACCTAGATTTATTTTCTGCACACAACTAACCATTACTTAAAGTTATCTCAGGCATTTGTTTGCTTATTCCACTGGAATGTAGGAATCACAGACCTCACCTTTTTCCCGGAATTAATATGGCCTAAAACTAGTCCCTAGTGGGGCTGAGCTAAATGCCCATGGTTCGTTTGTGAGCACTGGGGCAGCACGTGGTTCCCGGGAGCAGCACTCTGTCCTGCTGGATCAGCCCAGCACAGCAGGTGTGGCAGTGCGCTCGAAGCGCCAGCAGTGGGCGCTGCCTGGAAAAGCCACACGCCTCCTATCCTGGCACCAGCTGGCACTGTCTCCCTTCCCTACACAGCTCCCTGCCCTCTGCAGACAAGCAGCACTGTGAGAAGGGAAGTCGGACTCTCTTCTGGTTCTGATGTGTTTTCTTGTAGACAGAATTAAGACAATGACTTCAACGAGGAGACTCATTTTTCTCCACAAAGACGTGATCGACATAAGTCATATTATCCTCACTTATTTGCTGACAAGTCATGCTATTCATTCTGTGCACTTAAAAAAGTTTAACTTTTACTACATGTCTGTGGTTCTAAATTCAAAGTTAAGATTCTTTCTTGCTGCTTTTCTTACCCTTCTTGTCCCCTTCCCATCCAGCAGATGGACTGGTGTCCAGGCAGCACACACGGATTCATTACTGCCCACCTCTCCTGCTAGACTTAGCTGCAGCTGGGCGTGGGCTTCTCTCTGTTCCTGGGTATTCCCCATGCTTGGCACCATGCCTGGGGCATAGTGCACACTCAGTAAATCTCAAATGAATCCCTCAGGTTTTGATATGCACTGCTTTTTTATCATTGTTTAATTTCACATATTTTCTCATTTCCATTATGATTCTTCTTTGACCATTGAGTTGTTTGGAAGTGTGTTCTAAAATTTCCAAGTGTGCGAGGGCTTCCCAGATATTTTTTGTTATTTACTTCTAAATTAAATGTGCCACAGTCGGAGAACATGATCTGAGCATCCTCAGTTCTTTGACACTCACCGTCGGAGTTCACAGGTGCCCCTCATGCATGAAAGAGCGTGTTTCTTGCACCTGTGCAGGTGACGTTCCAGAGACCTGTGGCATAGAGCTAGAGGGTTTTTCCCACTTGCTCTTGCCAAGGAGTAGCGGGAGTTTCCTCCTCTCAGTAGACACACGAGGAATGGGGAACAAGGGTCCTTCTTTCACAGACCTAAGGAGGCTTTGGTGCTGTTTTCTCCAGCAAAGTCACATGTTCTCAGAACATAATCGGGGGCTCGAGCCCTGGGAAAGTGGTCCGGCCTGGGGTAATAATCCAGGTTTGCTGGGTTGCAGGCAGCCCGGACCAGCCACTCATCATGTCCGGGTTTGCCTCTCAGAGCCCTGGACTAACTGAAGTGACAGGGGTCTCCAGGTCACAATGTGTACTGACCCCTCTACTGGGTGTCTAGTATGTGACATGCATCCTGCTAGGCTTTGGGATGCAGATGTGAACAGGACATATATCTTCCCAAGTTTATTCAACAAGCATTTATTGTGGCCCTGGCTCTGTTAGACACTGTTTATGGCTTGGTGGGGAAAAGGTCCTTGTCCTTATAGACTATGTATCCTAGTAAGGAGCTGCATTAGTCAGGGTTCTGCAGAGAGACAGAACCAATAGGAGATATAGATATAGATATATGAGAAGGGATTCTTTTTGGTGGGGGTGGGGCAGCTGTCCCGTACAGGAATCTGAACCCTTGGACCCTTGACCGTGGTGTTATTAGCACCATGCTCTACCAAGTAAGCTAACCAGCCAGCTTGAGAAGGGATTTTACTAGGGGCATTGTCTCATGTGAATTCTAAGAAGAAGTCTAAGTCCCACAACAGGTCATCTGCAAGCTGGAGATCCAGAGATGCTGGTAGCGTGGCTCAGGCCAACTCTGGAATCCTCAGAACCCAGGAAGTCAATGGTGTAATTATCAGTCTGAGGGCTGGCTGGTTACTTCAATTGGTTAGAACGTGGTATTGTAACTCTAAGGTCAAAGGTTCTGATCCCCATGCTGACCAGCCGCCAAAAAAAAAAAAAAAAGTTCTCAGTTTAATGCTGAAGGCCAAGAACCCAGAGGGCTCTTAGGAAGTCCAAAAGCTGGTGTGCTTGAGTTCTCATGTCCAAGAGCAGGATAATAAGGGAGTCCCAGCACCAGGAGAGAGAGAGCAAATTCACCTTTCTTCAATGTCTTTTCATGGCTAGATAGCTCATTTCTTTTTAATGTTGAATACTATTTCATTGTCTGGATTTACCACACTTTATTTATCTATTCATCTACTGAAGGACAAGTTTCCATGTTTTAGCAATTATGAATAAAGCAGCTATAAATATCTGTGTGTAGGATTTTGTGTGGATGTAAGTTTTCAGTTCATTTGGGTAAGGAACACAATTGCTGGATTGTATGGTAAGATTATGTTTAGTTTTGTAAGAAAGTGCCAAACTGCTTTCCAAAGTAGCTGTACCATTTTGCATTCCCACCAGCAGTGAACGAGAGTTCCTGTTGTTCCATGTCCACATCAGCTTTTGGTGTTGTCAGTTCTGGATTTTCACCATTCATATAGGTATTAGAGATGTTTTTAAAAAATCACTCTTGTAGTTGGTTGGAGGATGGGGCAGACTAATTAATAGGCCATCGCAACAGTCCAGGGACAGGTATCACTGCATTCCAGGTGATGCCGTGAAGATGCAGCAAAACAGGTGGATTTTCAGAGCATTTTTACAACAGGAGGACCTTCTGATACATTCATGTGAGAAGAACGGTTTATGGGGGGTAGGTAAGTACTCAATATTGGACATGTTAGAATAGAAGTGTGCGTGAGACACTGACGAGTCATGTCTCATGGGCCGTGGGATCTGTGATGGAGCCCAGGATAAGTCCCGCACTGGAGACACACACTTGGAGGCTGTCAGTCACCCTGGGACAGTGGTCTTGTACCATGGCTTGAGACTGGGAAACACTGGTGCCCAGGCCCACAACTGACTCACTGAGCCAGAATCAGCCTGAGTAGCCTAGCCACAGGCCTGTTTTTGAAGCTTCCGCTGATTCTGATATGCAGCCAGCATTGATAACCACAGAGTTGAACTCTGAGAAACTGACATTTAGAGGTCAGAAAGAGAGAGGCGCCAGTGAGAGATGACGGAGAGGCCAGGGTGAGAAAGGAGATTGAAAGAATGTGGTGTCAGAGTCCACAGAACTTCTGATAAAGCCTGCAGAGTGCGACCAGCTCACGGCACTCACTGTGATCACTGACCAACGTTTGGAGTACTTTGTACATAGTTTTATGTGATGAAACACTTAATTCTTTTCAAGTGTTCTCAGACTGCTCTAGTCAAGATATATAGGGAGACTGTTGGTTAGAAAGTTATTTTGTGAGCAAGATGTCGAGATAAGGAGAGCTAGATGATCTGAAGCAGTTTTCTTGGCAAAGTATTCTCACGCATTTTCACCCCCCTAGAGGTAGCTTTTCCAAGAAAACTGCAATTCGGTATTATGCTGAGGCAAGATTCCTCCCCCCCCCCACCCCCCCGAGCAGTGCCAGCCTCTGAGGATGCCAGACTTGACTCCTGTTGATGTTTTCATAGCTGTCGTGGCTCTCATGCCCTCAGTCTTTACTCAGAGACTGATGCAACTCAGTGGTTTACACTATTGCATTGAAAGCATATTGTCAGTTCTCCCCAAGTTAACCCACAGATTCTCAACAATCCCAATCAAAACCTTGATGCCGGTTTTTTTTTTTTTTTTTGGTAGAAATTGACAAGCCCAGATCTATATGGAAATACAAAAACTGAGAAGAACCAAGATAATCTTGAAACGGGGGGGCACTATTGGAGGACTTAGTCTATCGAATATCAAGACTAATTGTAAAGCGATAGGAATTAGTTAAGCAAATACCATTTGGTGTTGACTCAAGGATAAACAAATAAACCAGTGGACCAAGATAGAAAATCCACGAACAGACCTTTATATGTGTGTATAAAACACATGATTTCTGACAGGGGCGATGTACAGAGCAGCAAGTCAGGAGGGCTCATTACGTAATAAGGGCCAGAGCATGTTAACCCCCACTTCACACTGTCCATAGCAATAACCTCCAAGTGATTTGTGTATCTCACTATAAAAAGCAAAACAGGAAAGACTGGAGGAGATACCATAAGGGAATATCTTTAATACCTTGCAGTGGGTAGACACTCACGAGAGGACACAGTATGCATCACCATGAAGGGAAAGATGGATAAACTGTACGACAGTAAAACTTAAGGCTCTCCACTTATGAAAAGACGCCAACCACTGAACGAGTAAACATGCAGGCCACGTAAGGGGAGAAGATATTTCCAACAAATATAACTGACCAAAAAACCCCTGTCCAGAATAACGAATTCCTACAATTCAATAAAAAACACATACAAACCAATTTTTTTAAAATGAGCAAAATACACAAACTGGGGGTAAATGAAAGAAGAAATATAGTTAGTCAATAAATATATGAAGACTGTTCAATGTTTTTAGTCATTGGGGAAATATGAGGGTTCTTCAAAAAGTTTATGGAAAGATATATATATGTTTTAATTCCATTTTTTCACAGACTTTTTGAAGTACCCTCATACAAATTAAAACCACAGTGAGATATCACTTCTCATTTACCAGAACAGCTCACATTAAGAGCAACAATCACATGCATTGACAAAGAACTTTCATGTGTTGCTGGTAGGGGTATAAACTGGTGTGTTACTTTGAAGAACTAGCGCTAACTCTGCTGCAGTTGACCCAGCAATTTCATGCCCCTTTGTGTATATATTCAACAGAACTGTGGACACATGCCAACTAAAATCTGTGTACCAGAATGTTCATAGCAGTGTTATTCGTAATAGTGCTGAAGTGGAAAATCCCATATATCCATCAAGGGTGGAGTGGATGACTAATCGCCCTACATTCACACAATTGAATAATACACAGCAGTACAAATAAATTAAATACTGCCTCACACAACAGTGATGAGCCTTAAAACCATGATTTTGAACAAAAGAAGGCACACACAGAGTACCTATTGGTATGAAGTTCAAAAACAGGAAAAAGTAGCCTATGGTTGTAGAGGTCAGTGATGTTACCTCTGGGGAAGGAGCGAGGACTTGTGGAAAGCAGCATGTTCCATCTCTTGATGTGGGTGGCTATTACACAAGTGTGCTCACATTGTGATAATTCAACAAACTGTGTTCTTGTGATCTTTTGCTCTCCTATATGTATATTTTGATTTCTAAAGTTAACTTAACCTATAATCACATTCCAGTGTTACTTCCCTGAAATTATGCCCAGATAATTGTGATTCAAATGTTGGGTGTTTCTGAACTTTTGAGTTACATGTTTGTAGGCAATTTCTTGAATGGTATTTTACATGTCCTGGATTTAGATTTCACAAATTTAATCTTAAGAGGAATCTTATTTCCAAGCTCGTGTGAAGTGCTTTTAGCTCCCAAGTGGACAACAAAATGATTTCATAAGGCGTTAGGACTGAGAGACTTGATAAACTGAGTTTATAGTAAATCTTTATTTTGGAAAATATGCTCAATTATCAGGACTTTCCCCAGCTGAAAATAAGTGTTTGAAATGTTAAAATAAAATGAAGGAATTACGTTGGTGCAATTTATTTTCATTTTTTAGTTAACTGCTCTGCAAGACCTTCATCCATTACCCAAGATAATTTTGGAATACAGGCAGGTAAGTTAATTTTTTTTTGTAAGTAACTTGGTGGTAAAGGGGAACTGTATGGCCCTCTCTCTGCGAACAGAAATCCGAAGTCGCGGGAGTCGCCCTGACAGTGTTCTAAAGGGTGTATAATTCTCCCAGGCTGACCTCACATTAGCGCTGGCTACTTGCACCCCAACATGGTGTACTCAAGTATCCAATCAACTCCGCTCCACGTTGTGAGTCTGAGGGGTTATAAATGGAAGGAGCCTACGGAAAGTTGGGAAGAAAATACCCAGTGTGTAATTACTGTGTGGTCAGTGTGGAGGAGGCTTCTATCAGGGCTGAGTTCAGAGACTTCCCACGACGGCCCCTCCCCTGGTTTCCAGGCTTGGCGAGGCTGCCACACAGCAGCGATTCCGCATTCTGTGCACATTCACCTGCTGGCTGACGGCCCCTCCCCCTTTCTCTGCTCATACACCTGCCATTTACTTCAGAAATTCTCTGTTTTTCCTGAGCCATGTTGATAACTTTTGCCATCACCCGTACCACCAGTACTGTTATTTACTAAGTCTGTGGCTGCTGTCTCTGTACCACACCATACCAGGCTGGCCCCTTCTTCCGAGAGAAATGTAAGGATTGGGAGAGAACTAAAAAGGGGACACTGGATCAGGGGTATTTGCTTGTTTATCTATCTCTGCAACCTTTCTGTAAATCTAGAATTATTCCAGAATAATCTATGTATTTTGAAAAGGTGGGATGACATTTTTCTCTGCAGGCCAGTGTTATTTAATCCTGGTTCTAGCTCAGGTCATTTCAGGGCTTCCTAGAGTCACCAAAGGTCATAGCAGCACATGCCCAGCACTGTGTGAAGCACTGCTCTGATGTTTGTTCCTATTTAAGTACTTAAACAAAAAATAATAATTATTCTTTTCTATGTAATTTAGGTTCGTAAGATCAAGTCAACCTTTGTAGATGGATTACTAGCTTGCATGAAAAAGGTAACTGAAGCTTTTAAGAAAAAGATACTGTGATTAGGAATATGGTTTATATATGAGTTCAGATATATATAGAACTTTTATAATTTTAATAAATGGCAAAATAATCTAATATTCTTGAAACTGTAAGCCATGATTTGTTATTCGGTCTCCTCACAGCATAGGTTGATGTTATACCTCACAGTTTTATGTTTATACGGAAGCTTTACAGCTTCCTGCTTTCCAATCTGTTATTAAATCTCTTTTCTGAAATCACTTGGGGTAGATGCTGTTGTGTTAGTTCACACCAGAGGTGACTGTAGCCAGAGATGTTCTGTGACTTGTTTGAGAGCACACAGCAAAGGACAGAACCTGTCACACACAGTCCCACCCATAGCCCACACACATGGTTTGTAAGTGACATAAGACCTACACGTCCTAGTACAGCTTCTCCATGGGTTACAGGGAAACCTCCTTCTCCACGCATCACCCATCACTTGTCAGGATTGTAACCCCCAAGGATATTTTGGGGCTGGGAGTTTAGGGCCACCAGCCCATTGACTTCGGGAGGAGCAGCAAGCGTTGTGTGTTGTAGGTGAAGGGTATAGCATATTTTTGGCTTCACGTAGAATTGCCAGAGTTTAAACTGATTCTTTTTAACTGAAAAAGGGCTTCATTTCCTCTACCTGGAATCAAACTGGAACTGTGACTGGAAGACTTTCAGCCAAGCATCCTGTAAGTTAGTGCTCTTTGTTAAATGCCACTTTCCATGCCTCACAATTGAAGTTTGCCCAGACGTGTGTTTGCATTTCCATTTCCAAGAGGGAACCTCACACTGATGAATTGTGTTTTATTCTGTTTATTTATTGCACTAATATTTATTTAGGACCTATTATGTTCTGGGAACACAGCAGGGGAACAAGACATATGTTTCCCCTTCTCATGAGGTGCTAAGTTAGTGAGAGAATTCTTCACACCCAGAAGTCCATGCACTCTGGCACCAAAGGCAAGAGAGACCCTGTTCCCCCTTCCCCTCTTCCTTATCAGATTTGTGCTGGACAAGTGGCTTCTGATTTCCACAAATGTGTGGAAATATCTGAAGCTCTGATGACCACCTCCATTTTTTGGTTGTTGTTGAAGACTGTCTCTTTAATAACATGTGACCCAATTAACTTCTTTTTTTTTTTTTTTTTTTTTTTTTTTTTTTTT